TGAGGCCTTTAAGGGGTAATTAGGTTTAGATGAGGTCATGAGAATGGGACCCCATGACAGAATTCGTGTCCTTATCAGAAGAGGAGAGACTAGAGCGCTCTCTCTCCTCCATATGGGGGTGCACCAAGAAGGTGGCCATCTGCAAACCAGGAAGAGGGCCTTCACCAAGAACCAAATCTGGCGGCACCTTGGTCTTAGAAGTTCTAGCCTCCAGAACTCTGATAAGTAAATGTCTGCTGCTTAAGCCACTCAGTTTATGGTATTTTATTACAGCAGCCCGAGCTAAGATGGTAGAGAAATGCCCCAGCCTCCCTGTCCTCTGGCGTGATGATTCTAAGGCATGTTCTGCATGGTTTCTGGGATGTACGCGGGGGACTTGAGTCCCAGTTGCCCACAGGGGTAATCTCATTAACACCCCTTTTATTGGCTTTTCTCCCTTCTCTGCTCCCCTGCTGCGCTTCCTGGATCACCTCCCAATCAAACCAACTGTATCTGAGTCCTTTCTCAGGGTTGGCTTCTGGGGGTACCTATTACAGACTGAAGGTATGTGTCCCCCTAATTCATATGCTGAAATCTGACCCCCAAGGTGATGGGATTAGGAGGTGGGGCCTTTGGGAAGTGATTAGGTCATGAGGGTGGCACCCTCATAATGGGATTCGTGCTTTCAGAAAAGAGACCTCAGAGAACTCTCTTGTCTGTCCCTCTATTTGAGAACACGGTGAGAAGATGGCTGTCTAAGAACCAGGAAGAGGGGCCCCATCAAAGAGAATCTATCAGGTGCCTTGACCTTCGACTTCCTGGCTTTCAGGACAGTGAGAAATGAATGCCTATTGTCTACTGTTTATAAGTCACCTAGCCCCCAGCATTCTATTCCAGCAGCCCGAATGGACCAAGACAGCACCGAAACTGACATGGAAGAGGACCAGCCTTATGGATGATCCTGAGAGACCGGCTCTGTGGCCCTGGACGGGGGTCGCCAGATTTTGCAAATAAATACAGGATGCCCAATTACACTCTGATTTCAGATAAACAATGGATACGTTTTTAGTATGTCTTATGCAACGTTGGGGGTATATTTATACCAAAAAACATTCGTTGTTTATCTGAACATCAAATGTACCTGGGCGTCCTGTATTTTATCTGGCAACCTGAACCATGGTTGGAAATAAGGGTGAACTAATTAGGAAACTGGAAATGATTACGGGGGCCTGGATTATGTGTGACTCTGGGCTGGATCAGGCAGATCTGTGAACCTTTAACCTTTGACCTATCTAATCTGGGAAACGTTCGCATCCCATCATCCCCTTGGGCACATATACAGCCGACCGTGAGGGCGGTGGGGGAGAAACGTGACCCAGAGAGGTTAAGCGGATGACCACGACCCTGGGGTCTGTCCCCTGAGGTGAAAACCTTCCTGGCCTTTGAGGCACTGAGCGTAAGAAGTTCCCCAGGTGGCAATAATAGGCAGAGCAGCGGCGGGGGGCGGCGGAAGCCCTGGGTCTGGGGCCCGCATGTCATCACAGAGCCAGCCGTCGAAAATGGAAAGTTTCAGTCACACTCGTTTCCTTGGCTGCCGTCTGTTTGACAACGGTGAAATCGTGCCGCAGGGGGGCCCGGCAGACATGCTACTAGTCACTTCCCCAGAGAACCGGGGCCCTGCTGGCCTGAGGCCAGGCAGCTGCCAGCCAGCTGAGCTGGGGGCCTGACCCGGGTGGATTCAGGACTGTAGGCCTCAATCCGATCTCAGCGCATCACAGACACCAGCTCATTTAATACACTAACAACTCGAGGAAGTAGGTGGAATTCCATTAGACAGATGGGGGCACAAACCGAGGCACATGAAGTCGCACAGCTTGGAGGCAGCAGATCCAGCGTCCTGACCCAGGCAGTGTGACAGCCGAGATGTCGCTCTCAGTCACAGTAACACATATCTCTGAACCGTTCCTCTGACCATAAAATAGGGTGTATTAAGGGCCCAGCGGGAGGTCAAGGCCAGGTGGAGTCTGGAGGTACCCATTCTTGATGCCATCGTCATTTCAGCGTTACCCTCATCTTCCCTGGTTCCCTGGAATGAACCATCCCAGGAGTGCTGCTGACTGCAGGGTGGCCAGGCGGCTCTGACTTCCCTCTGAGGACCCCCGGGTAGCTGAGATAGACTCTTCAATCCCTTGATCCTCACCGTGACTACAGTCACCCGGTACCTGCAACTTGCGGACCAAGAGTTGATCACATGACCAGAAGTAGCTGCCGGGTCCCCTGGAAAAGAAGCGAGCAGCGGCAGAGGCACCTGCTGCACGAGCTCCAGACAGCAGCAAATCAAACAGCCTTAGGTCAGGAAAAGAGCCCCTCTGCATTCCGGGGTTGATCAGAGCTGACATGAGGTCCTGGGGCTGCTTTTTTTTAAAGCAGGGCTTGGATGAGAGCTGAATTCAGATGCTGGGCTAGGCAGCTAAAATAGAGTGCCCCCCATATTGCCTCTAGACTTACAACCAGCCACAGTGAAGTCCTGACTTGCAGGTTCAGAGCTCCCGGCTTTCTAGGCGCACCCATCTGCCCTCTGCCTTGATTTTGCTTCAAGCTCCAGCATAGTGCTGACCAGAGCAACACAGGGGAAAGGATGGAGTGGACCCATCTGTACCAGATGCTGTCCACGCCCTGCCCTCTTCCCTCTGTGGGTGGGTTCAGGCTGTCTCCCAGCTGCCAGTATCCGCATCTCTCTGCCCAACAGCTTTTTAGAAACTGCACCACCACTCCACCCGTGTGCACAGAAAAATCCCCCACACTCTCAAACACCCCCTTAACCAATGACAAAAGGGAGTTGGTGTATAAATAGCCCAGCTCCATGGGATGCCGGGGGCATGGTGTGTTCTGCACCAATACTACTCAAAGTACGGTCCCTGGACTGGTGACAAATTGTGAAATGCTTATTCCTCATTCACTTTGAGATAAGTACACACAGAGTCCTCCTTTCAGAATTTTTAGGGCAATTTGACACTGCTGGGACATTGGTACGGTGCTTTATGAAAGTATTCATCTACAATGGATTGATACCGACACCAAAAAACCTGGCCCTTGACCTGGATACCCTGAGAAGCACCGTTCTTGTTCTATCTTAGTTTTCCCACTGGGATGAAGCGCCCGTGGCCCACAGCTGGCTTGATAACGCACCCGTTATGGGCTGCCTTCCGTTCCCTGTCTCCCTTTCCTACTGCCCTGCCAGTGTTTCTTGCATTTCCCAAATAAATGACTCATTGCACTCATTTCTTTGTTTCAGGGTCGGCTTCTGGGGCAACCCAACCTCAGGCACCCTCCCTTGTAGAAGGCTGCCCCTGGGAGCTCCTTGACCTCTTCCCCAAGGAGTTAAGTAGCCCATTCGGGAAAATAAGCTGGTCTCCCCACCTCCACATTTCTTCCTGCTTCTGTGGCCTAAGGCCAAGGTCATTGCCCTCAGTGCCCTTGGCTTCTCCAGAGTCACACAGACCACCGGCTGGGGCTGACGGAAGACACACCTTCAGGCACTGGGCAGCCAAGAATTGCCGACATTCTGGTTAAGACTGAACGCCCCCCACTTCACCTCCAAGACTGGCTCTTCCAGGGCCAAGGCAGCTTTGAGGGAAAGGTCTGAGGCCTTCATTTACAGGCCACAATGGCCAGTGAGGAAAACCTGTTCTTTTTCTGAAGCCACTTTTGCGCGCATGTGGAATGCTTTTGTTCAGCTACTAAGCGCCCAGGCACGGTCTTTTATGACCTGAATCATTTTCACGTGGCTCAGGGCCTCCCTGGAATCCTGCCCTCATCCTTCCGCCTGTTAGACGGTGCGCTCTATCTGGGGCTTGCTCCTTAGTTGTTTACGAATCTCTCAATCTGCCTGCTCAGGCTGAAAGAGGCTCTGCCGCCCATAAAACCCTGCAGTTCTAAATCATTCCTCTGTCTCTCTCTCTCAACTCAGGTCCTCAGGACTCCCGGAGCCCAGAATTAAAACCATCTTGAAATCTAGTTTTTACTTCTCCATCTAGCAATTGCTTTCCCTTTGGCTTTTTGGTGTGCCCGTGCAGGCACCTTGGACATCCCTGTTGGCCAGCAGCCTCCGATGCCCTTCCCTGCTCAAGGTACTCTGGCGTGGAACGATTCTCTGGAGGCTCTGGTACAAACGCTGCAGAGAGCATCCTCCTGGCCCGGCCCAGGCCGGGGTCAGCAGGGCGGCTGCGTGAATGCGCATTGCTGGCACTTGTGATCGTGTTCAGTTTGGGGGTTGGGGGCTGCCGGCACGCATGGACATCCATTTAGAAATCCCTCGAAGTGCCACGGCTCGAGGTGGTGTAGCTGTTTCAGACCAGCTGAGGAAAATGAACTGTGCTAAGTCAGAGCTCCGGAGAGCCAGCTTCGGAGGCCAGGGAGAGGCAGACGCCACAGCTGACTGTCTCGGTTTGAACTCTGGCTCTGCCTCTTGTTACCAGTGTGGCTCCGGCAGGTAGTCTAACTTCTCTGGCTTCACTTTCCTTTGCTGTGAAAGGCTGGAAGAGCACCTACCTTACGGGATTCTTCGGAGGATTTGATGAGTTAGTATTAATGAAAGATTATGCCCCATAATGTTAACGCTCTACTTGTACTAGTCCTAGTACTCCTCCTCCTCCACCACCCAGTAATTTTAAATACAGAAAACAGGAACTAAAGTGGACTGCAAGGATCAGAGAAGGCTTCCTGGAGGAGGGGGCTTGAATTACGCACAGAAGGATGGGAAGGAGGATGTGAATTGTGGTCAGAGAGCAGATGCACATGATGCATTCTCCAAAGATGGCAGCCAACAGTGTCTCCTAACTCACAGGCTCTTCCACACACAGTATGACCTCAACACTCCTCTCACGGAGAGGTGAGGTCTAGGTCCTTTCTTGTTGAACGTGTGGGTGGGGAGCTTGTGGCTGCTTCAATCAGTAGAATATAGTGGAAGTGATCCTGGGGGACTTCCAAGGCTGTGTTGTAAAAGGAGAGGCGGCTCCTACCTGTTCCTGACGCGCTGGCACCTGGAGCCCTGAGCTGCCGGATAAGAAGTCTGACTGCTCTGAGGCTGCCACGCTGTGAGGAGGCCCAAGCCACACGGGCTCCCTGTAGGAGGCATCTGGCCGATCGCCTTTGAGTCTTCCCAGCCCAAGTGCCAGACAGGTGGGTGAAGGAGCCTTCAGATGATTCCCAATTCCAGCCACCGGCTTCAAGTCCCCCTGAGCCTCGGAGCCTTCCCAGCTGAGGCTTCAAACATCCTGGAGCAGAAACAAACCATCCTCCCTAAGCCCTGCCTGAATCCCTGACCCACAGAATCCACACGCATAATAAAACAATTGTTGTTTAAGAGTTTGGTGTGGGCAGGGTTTCAAGACACTAACCACGCATGGTGCAGTCCCTTCAGTGAAACAACTGCGGGGAGCCATCATCACCACTAGGAGAGGCAGCTAGAAGTTATTTGAACTTGGAAGAACCTCAGTGTCATTTGGCCTTTTATCTGCAGAGCTCCTTTCGTGTCCCTGGGTCGTTCAGTGGGAACAGCCTATGAGCTAACAGGGGTCCCCAGGGGACTCGGAGGAGAAAGGCTGGCCCCAATTGTCCTGATCTCTTTTGCCACCGCCTTTTCAGGATTTTCCTGCCTTTGGCAGCCTTGGAGGCCCTCCTAGTGAGGCAGGAAGAGGAGCCAATAAATAAATTCACACGAAGGTGCTAGAGAGTGATAACAACTAATCCCTTCCAAGGGCAATTGCTCTTGGAAAAAAGGACAATAGAGCTCAAAAGAATACCACTCTTTGGTGCTGGCCTGGGAGTAACTTATGGGCGGGGGCCCTGAAACTCTTCAGCTCAGCCCCCTCTTCTGCTTTCCTGTGAGTCTGACTTTAAGCACCTTCCCCCAAAGGCTTTCAGATGCTTCTATTCATGGAAGCTCCATGAGGGAAGGGCTCTTTCTGTCTCTTCGGTTCATTGATGTATTTCAGAGCCTGACACGGAGTGTTGCTCTCTATGCATTTGATGAATGAATGAATGAATGAGTGAATGAATGAAATCTCCCCTCAGGAACCTGGTTCTTGTCTGAAGTGAGACAAGCTCGGCACCTCCCCCCACCCCCTCCAGTCTTCCCTGTGGCCTGCCTGCGATTGAGCTGAAAAATGATTTTTCATACACGTCGCCCTCATTATAACATCATCCCTCAGAGCGAAGCTCTCTGACCACCCTGAAGACCTGTATTTAATGTGATGAAAGGTGATTTAATGGAGTTGCGGAGAGCGAAGCAGAAAGCGGACAGCCGTTGCAGAAAAGCCGAGTAGGCTGTCCCTCCAAGGGGAAGAGGAAAAAAAGGAAAGAAAGAAAAAGGGGGAAAACATCCAACACCTTCCCCCAGAAGACATTAGAATAAGAAGACGCTTTAGTCAGCGCCATAAGCAGGCAAAAATGAAAGCCGGAGAAGCCCAGAGCGCCCCCTCCCCAGCAGCAGATAACTAACTTACCATTTATTTACCTTGGAGCTGATTATGTCGTGGGTTGAGGCAGGCAGGGAGATTTTATTGACATTTGGTCTCCCTTCACACATTTTTGCGACAGGCAGACATCAGGGACTGAGCTGCAGGATATTAAAGGATTTGGAAAAGTTATCAAGGAATGGGACATATTTATCAAAGCCACAGTGATATTAGAAAGCTGGGCTGCTGCTACACCTGGGTCTGTTACTTGATTAAAAAAATAATAATGATTCATCCTCTGGCTGCCTTTTGCACCTGGGTGAATGCTGCGCCGTTCTCGGGACCACCCTCGGCCAGGGATTTGCACAGAAAGGCCCTCTTTGGGTCTGGCAGAAAATTGTGGGTGATCGATCACGCGAGTGGCTGGGGGTGTGCACCTGCACCCATGCTTGTGGAGGTGTGAGAAAGTCGTGCGTTCAGCGTGCAGCTCCTATAGGGGTGCTACCTGACCACCCCTGGGTGGGGCCAGCATCCTCTGAGCATATTTTCTTTCCAAAAGAGGACTATTAAGACTTGGTTGAGTGACTGGAGGGTTGGAGCAGAAGGAGCCATGTGAGCCTAGCTGCCTCGACCACTGCATTTCTGGCGACTAGCAATTATGTAATACAGAAATGCTGCAACTTCCAACAACCAGCAAGTAAGAATATACCACGAGTCACCTCTATTTAGCTCTCCCCCAAATTTTTCCATATGAATTATTCAGTGTGTGACTGTTTCAATATGTCTGTCTTTTTAACAAAAAAAAATGCTGGATGAACTTAAGCAGCAAGAGGAAGTGCCTGCATTGCAAAAATGATACCCACCTGCATATTTACCTTCAAAGGAAAATCTTGAATGCATTCACTCGGTTGAAAGTATCATTAATAGCAAAGACTGACCAAGGGCCACCAGGATCCAGGGGGTTAATCTGGGTTTTTGCCATCTGATTCCAATCCATTCCGGCCTGGCTATAAATCGCTTAGATGTCTGGGTGATAAAAAGCAAATACAAATTTTCAAAAAATTTAACCTTGCATGGTATATAAAGAGAATACATAATATTCTCGGGCATAAATACGTCTCAAGACAAACTCGTTGTGTATACCCAGAATACATAATGGATTTTACCGAGACATATATTTTTTTTCCCTAGCAAGAAAAAGCCAGAAATTCTGTCGTAAACTGACCGTGTGGTTTCCACCACTCTGAGATGAGAGCTGTATCTCCCGCTCGGGGCTGTCCACACACACAAGGGACTGGGGATCTCTGAAGACTCTCAGTGCCCTTCTAGAATGACACAAAGTCCCGCCGAGGGAGAGGAAGTCTGGCTGAAGCTGGGAGATGGGAGATCTGGGGCTTTGGGGTGATTCTGGGGCACCTCTGGGCCAAATCATTGCATGTGATTGGGTTCCAATTTCTGCATCAGGAAAAGGAGGGGGCCGATTGAGAAACTATTGATTTCTAAGACAGTGTTTCTCAAACTTCAGTGGGCAAGCGAATCCCCTGGAGTCTTGTGAAAAATGCAGATTCTGATTGGGTAGGTCTAGGGTTGGGCCTGGGAGCCTGCATTTCTAAAAGCCGGGCAGGCGGCGCTCATGCTGCTGATCTGAGGACCTCGCTGCAAGTAACCAGGGCCTGGGTTCCTTCCCAGAGCCCATGGTCTGAGGCAATGACTCCCACCCTTGGCTGCACATTGCAATCACCGGAGGAAGCTTCAAAAAATGCCATCGCCCAGCCCACGTCTCAGACCAATTCCATCTGAATCTTTGGGGTTACGACCCAGGCAACAATATTTGTTCACGTTTCCCAGGTGATTCCAAGGTGCAGCCAAGGTTGAATATACCTGGTCACAGGCTCCACGTGGCTTCCACACCTGGAGCCAGCTATTTGGGGGTTTGTCACCCCTGTAGCCTCACTTGTGATAATCCATTAAGTAGAGCAGAGGCAACTCACTGACGTGGCAGTCCGCATGGTGTGGCTGTGTCATAGGCTCACAGCGCCCTCCCTGCACAGGTGACGAGCCTGTTTGTCCAGGAGCCCAAGGCTGATGGGGTCCGTGGACTTTTACAGGGTAGCAAGCTGACACCGGTGGAACTTTTTCTTTGCATTACTTTTTTACTAAAGGCCAGATTAGTGGTTGCAAATACAGATGCCTACCCGGGCCCGGGCGGGCAGCACGAATCATAAATCAGAGCTAGTTGTTTGTGTATTTCAATACACAGGTGTGTTTTCCCTTCCTCAAAGAATTATGCTCTTTCACAATTTTCCTAAACCTCGTGGCTATCTTTTCTCTTCCTTTCCTTTCTGGTAGAGACATGGGCACAAGATAAATATTAATCTACTCTATGAAATCATTAGGGCAAGTGAAAGGGTGGAGTCAGGCTCACATAGGGCCTGAGTTCTGTCCAAATACACGATACTTACACTTTTGCAAATGTCCAAAAGGGGACCTGGACAAGTGAGGGGTCCTGAAGTTTAAGCTTTATTGGCATCATGAGATGAAAGACAGCACAGGTGGAATCTTCACATCCCTCAGACCAAAACTGTACCATAAAAATAAAAACAAACAAACACCGATGAAATGGCTGGAGAAGTTGATTCCAAATACTTCCACGGAAAAGATGAGACTCTCTGCTTTTGTGACCTTGAGCTGTGACAACAGCCATGAGTAAGACTCAACTGGCCTAGACCCTCACTACCCAAAGCGTGGTCCCCGGACCAGCAGCGTCAGCATCACCTGGGAGCGGGTTAGCTGCACACACTCTCAGGTGCCACCCCCGACGCCGAATCAGAATCCGCAGCGCCATCTGATGGGTACGCATTCACCGGCTGAGGAAGTGTCGCTGACTTAGAGAACGCAGCTGAAGAAAAAGGGAGGTAGTGCTCAGTTTGTTCATAAGTTCATTCCTCCCTTCCTCCCTTCATTCCTTTATGCATTCATTCAACAAGTATTCTTTCGGTGCCCTCTCTAGGTCGGGGGCTGTGACCTGCTAGTTAAGTGGGATTCGTAAAGAGACCCGCAGTGGTGATTAACCACCCGGCTTTTCCTGCCCCTTAGTTTCCTCTCCTTACTTCCCCCACCCTCAGGACACGCATCACACATGCAGTGGGATCACTGATACATGACGCTTCGTTGGGACAGGAGCCTACTTGTTAGACTGCAAACAGCCAGATGAGTGTGTGTGCGCTTGGATTCCTGAAAGAGCCTGGCGCAGGGTGTGCGGTTGGGTGCTGGGGAGGGGACATTCCCCAAAGTTCATTAACACTAGAGAACAACATCTTGCTTCTTTTGAGAGGGTGAGTCTTTGAGAGGCACGGCGAATGACTGCCCTGAACCTTAGCCCTGGGTCTCTCAGTCTCTAGGTAACGCCTCACTAGTCAATCCCCTGGTCTGAAATACAGGGGAGTGAAAGTTAAGAGTTTGGCCTCCCAGATCTGATTGCTTAGAGCTGGGACTGTGGACAAGTTAAGGTCACCCTCCACCTCCTTTTCTGTAACATGGGTGTGTTAATGATGTCCTTGGGGGTGTTGTGAGAATGCAGCCAAAGGGGAATGGAGGAAGTGAGCCCTATCCTAAACATGAGCTTCTGGGGCTGCTGAGGTCATATCAGTCACTCACAAGTTAGTATGAGTTAGATCTTACAGTGAGGCTTCGGTGTGGTGCGGGGAGAGGGGTGAAGTTACCAGGGAGGGGCAACGGTTTTGAAGGAGGCTGGTCCAGAGAGCAGGGAGTGAGGTACCCTTTTCCTATTCAAGGAAGAAACAGCAATGCACAGAATTTCAAGGTCTAAAAGTTGTGCTGGTTACCTCCTGGCAAAGGCCAGCCCCTGGCGCCTTTGCTGCTAGCTGACTCTGTGTTTATCCAACGAAACATCAAACTCGTGCCCTCTCATTAACCCTTTGTTTCTTCTTTGTTCCTGATTTAGAACCCCCACACTCTGATTATTTTTAGAGCTGTGAGAAGTCAGAAGTCACTTGTGTTTACAGAGAGGCCCAGCCGCCTTCAAAGGCGGGAGGGGAGTGTTAACAGCACCCAGCTCTCTCCCAGGCCCCAGGCCCCACCCTTTGCAATACCTTCTGGAGCGCTTGGCTCAACAGAAGAAAAAACAGAAAGGAGAGAGATCTTTTCTGTCTCTTAGATGTTTACTTTCTCAGTTTCCCCTGTGACCTGTGTGAGTTAAAAAAAAAAAGTACACACACAGACACACTCACACTTTTATGTTTTTCCCTGCAAAGTGGGGAGAACAGGCAGTCCCCCCGCACGAGTCCATGTTTGGGAAGTCTGGGCCTTCCTGCCAGCCCCCACCACCCACACTCCTTTTCTTCTAATTTCTCCTCAGAACACCAACCCGCCGCCTTCAAACCGGGCCAGGGCTGAGGCCTCGAGCCCCTCTAGGAATGATGGGTGCCCCTCAGTGGGCAATTCCAACCAGACCCCAGTCTTCCCCATTTGAAGAGCCGCTGTCTTAGTATGTCTCATCTCTGTGACCCAAAGTTCCTGCTTTCGTGCTGTGGAATCAGGGAGCTTGGAGGTTCTGGATCCATCACCCTCACCTCCCCAAATGAGGGCACCATGGCCCAGAGAGCGGAGAGGCTTTTCCAAGGTCTCCAAGTGTCACCGGGGCTCCTTCTGACCCCTTACAGGGCCCTTCCCATGGAGCTGAGCTCGCTGTCACCCCCTCGGCCCTTTGAAGCACTACTAAATGAAGCCACTTGGAGCACGTGGGGAGCAAGGGACAGCAACTGAGGCGATGGCGGCGTATGAATTCCCACTACTCGGAAAGGTAGGATCCAAGTTCTGATCTGGTTTCTTTTGAGCTCTCCTAGGCACCTGTGCCTGGATTCTTCTGCTGTTTTTTTGTTGTTGTTGTTCAGAGACGCAGTAAGTAGGCTCTGCTTAAATTATGGCCATGCTGGGAACACATTCGGGTGGCTGGATGTGACCAGAAGATTCTATCACTTGGCTTCATGGTGATGTGTCTACATTGCGCCAGGGCAAGAGCACAGAAATAACAGTCCTGTAGCTCTGAGACTATGTGAAAAGACCCACACGTGTGCGCGCACCCCCCCCACACACACACACTCCTTTACACACACGCATGCTCATGTTCACACCCTCATGTACTAACACACAGCTCGCACGGATGGTGATATCACAGCAGCCACACGGCTGTATGTTCCCCTCCCTCCCACTCCCACCCACACGTGTGTAATTTTTGCAGGGAGGCTGTCTCCTCCAGATTTGAGGGTCTAGGTCACAAAATATCACAAAATATTCCTCTGAAATGGAATCGAATAAAACCTACTTGGAATCTATGACTTCAGCTATCTGCAGAATCTTCCAAGAAGTGATCCCATCCTGGGCACCCTTGTAAGTGTTTTCCATGTCAGAAACCCTTTAAGCTGAGCTGCGTTTTCTGCCACACAGTAGCTTTGCAGTCTTGGACAGTAGCTTAAATCTTAGTGCCTCCGTTTCCCCATTTGTAAATTGAGAGAATAATGTCCAGCTCTTGGTATTGTATGTGTCTGGTAGGGGATTCACAGATGATAATAAGATGCTGGCTATAAACACACCCAAACTGTTCCTGGTCTGGGGGAAAAGCACAGCAAACATTGGTTCTTTCCCCTCTTTCTGATATTGAGAATGTTTATAAGTAATATGTTGGGGTAATATGTTGGACTTCCCATCTTATTATCTCAGTAACTTGCTCTGTGATTTGGGGCAGGTCATGCTCTTCTGTTTCAGTTTCATCATTCATTCATTCATTCAGGCAGCCAATATTTAAGGAGTGCCTACTGGGGGCCAGTCATTGTTTTAGATGCTGCAGATCCTGCACTAAATAAAACAGACCAAATTTTGGCCCTCATGGAGTTTATAAAGTGATCTAATTACTTATAACACAACCAAGATAATGTATCTCTTAGCAGTCTTCATACAGTCTAAAAGAAAAGGTTGTAAAAATGTGTCAGTCTTAATACATC